AAACGCCACACGCCGTCAAGCGAGACTACACTCTCCTTTTCCGCCTACTTCTATGCCAGCAAATATAAATCTGGCACCTGAATCAGTTGTTGATGAAGAGGAAGATGAAAATCGTTTTGATGTATTCATTTTGCAAACTTTTCGAATATTCTCAGGAACCGAAGATGTATTTTGTTGGTTAGATGAAACCGATAAGAAATTCAATAAGCTTAAGATATCTCGTAATCTTCGATATAAGGTCATCCCACTACTAGTAGAGGATGATGCCAAACGGACATACTTGTTGAATAAATCTAACATAAAAACCTTTGATGATTTTTATGAGTGCCTTTTGTCTAAATTTTCCAAACTTGAGCAAAGTGAACGTCATCAAGCAGCTCTCTCGCTCTCATGTTCATCTCATAATACTAATCCTTCACGTTCATCCAATATGCCGAAAAACTTGTCTTTTAATGATACACAACTAGGCGGCACACATCAGTTTGATGATTCAGATAGCTTACCGCCGCGCCCTATTTTGCGGTCGACTGCAATCGCAGATAAGGGAGCCACCAGTTTACCGGGTGATGAATCCGCCTTCGGTGGAACTTTTCAGTCTTCCAATCTTTCTCAGACCGCCTGTAGTCTCGATCAAACGACATATGTTATACATAAAGCTATAATCGATAATTTGATAAAAAATCCGAAGATCTTTCAAGGAGGCAAAGAGGATGTAAAACAATGGCTTGAAGATATTGAACAACTTTTTGACGCGACGCAAATTCCTGATAGTCATAAGCTCGATCGCATTACATACTCATTGCGAGGTGAAGCCCGCCGCTGGTATAAGAATACTAAATCGTCTCTAACGCCTTGGGCGGTTTTCGTTCAGGAAATTAAAGAAGCATTTCTTTCTCGGTTTCATGAGGAACTAGGGTTCAAAAAGCTTGAGTCATATACTCAAAAAGCTAATCAACCAGTGCGTAGCTTTTACAACGAGGTACTTAAGTTATGTACCGAAACGGATCCGGAGATGAGTGAGTGAATGAAACTACGTCATCTTCTAAAAAAGGCGAAACCTACGCTTCAATATGAAATTCGAAAACGAAAACCGACTACAACTAAACAGTTCCTTGAGTAAGCCAAGGAAGTTGAAGAACTTTTACAATTATCTAACATTGACACTAACACAGATACGTATGAGAATAAGAACTGTAACCCGGCTCATTCAGTAGGCACCGTACGCAATAGTGTATTCCGCTCACCGGATGACGTCACAGGTTATCCCTCCTATGATCGTAGTCGCTATTATGATAATACTCGCACACGAAATCGATACGATAACAATCGGGGTCATATCAATAACTTCCGTTCCCCTCAATCAGGCAATTCCACCAGACCTGCCAACTTTTTTAATTCATCTTTACAGCGTAACAATTCTACGTATCCTCCCAATCACTCGATGAACAATACCTTACAGGTCCCTGCAGAAACCTCCCACAATAGTAACGCTCATTTCCGACCGTACTCACCTAATACCTATCCCAATTCAACCTATTCTTCGAATAGCAGTACCAGCTCTACCATCCAGAATAACAGTCGAGCACCTCCTATCAATGGCATTTCTGTCACGCACAACATCCCTCCTGCTCAGCTCAGCCATCAAGCCTCTAATCCGGATATCGCCACACCCTCACCCTCAAGATGGTCCCCATTTTTAGTCCCGGAGGCACCGCAAGATGGTGTTGACTCCGGCACAATTAAAATAACATCTCCAAATCCATCTTTAATTTTTCTCACAACCTTAGTCAATAACCATCCTATGCAGATCTTGGTGGATACCGGAGCCACCAATACATTTGTCAATTATAACACGTTGCGTTCTCTTAATCCTAACCTTCCATTGAATAAATGTTCGTCGTCTTTTGTTCTTGCCGACGGCATAGCAGCATTTCAAGTTTTAGGTACAGTGGAACTACAGATATTATTTGATGATCAACTCACCTTTATTACAGCATATGTTGCGCAAAACTTATGTACGGACGTCATCCTCGGTATGGATTACATAGCTTTTTATAACCTTAAATTTAACGTCCGTTCTCAACGCATTTCGATTGACCTCCAAGGTCGTCGACATCAAGTTCCTACTAATCCGAATGTTGAGACTACATTTATCCCAGTTCTTCTACATGAGGACACCTATCTCCCTCCTCGTTCATCTAGTTTTGCCAATGTATCAATCCCTATATCATCGCTTAGCTCGATTTTCATTCCTCATTACCAATTTTTACTATCCAATACAGCCACCATACGGCACAAGTTCCTACAATTCTATGATCACCGTTCTCATATCACTTTCTATAATACTTCCTTCCACCCTCATTTCGTTCCGCGTGGAACTCAGCTGGGATATCTATGTCATCATTCCCCGCTAAAATCTGACCCCTTTCACAATAGTCCTTCGCATGTGTCATGTGGTGTCATCAATCTTTTTGGTGCGATNCGAACATCTAATGCCTATCGAACTCAAGGTGGCACTGATGGAAAATCATACACAAGCGTTATGTTCTGCGCCTCAGCAACTGGTTTTCTCTTGCCTCCGTTTGTTATTTACAAATCGAAACAAGTAGCGTTCGTCGTGCCGACTCACTTCACCCTCGACTGTGGAAGACAGATATACTGTCTGCGTGTGCTATTAATGAGGGGGATCAATCTAGCAACTTCACGTACGATGAAACGGTAAAACTTTTTCTGTTCGACTATTTATTAACTCTCGCAAATAAAATAGCTTCTTGTCTTTGTAAAACAAATGTGAGGATATAAAAGGTCTTTATTTATTGTGAATTTATCACCAGTAACGCTGGTCGAGTACTCTCGCTGAACGCTCGGCTGATGTTCTTCCCATGGTACTTTTGCCATTAGAACTACACAAAAGATGTAACAACCCTCTCATCTCGCAGTCGGTCGTCGGCGTCCCTCCGGTCCGCCACTCCCGATTGCTGGATATTGCTCATAGCATGTACACTTTGTCTGATGACAGGCGCCTTTCTCCTCCACCATTCACACACAATTTAACTGCCACAACACAATCAGTATAAACACATCTCCGAGCTGCAGCTTGTCTTTCCTTTATTGACCGTTATCAGATACTGACAAACCCGCTTTATCGATAGGGCCACATAACAAATGCATCTAAGACGCTCAATGCATGATTCATCCATCCTATACATCGAATTTCACAATCTGATATCGCGCGCTAGCTATCGATCCATCTTATGATTTGCGACAATTAGCAATCAGCCTCATCTATCTCCACGCACTATTCGTGGCGTTACTGTCATTTTTTGCCTTCAGTCATGCCACATATAGACACCATTGAAACTACTTTTCTCAAGAGACCATGTGGCAATTCTTCGTCCATGTTCCCAATACAGTATTTGCTTAGCCAAATTGCCGAGTTAGTAACTTCTTAGTTGATGCCTCAAGTCATATCTCGACGCTATAAATATGCTCTTCCGTCGGCCATAGGTTCGATCGGAAAAGACTACTCCTCAAATGGAAAATATTCCGAGGAAAACGATTTTTAATCTTTCACTCTTGACCCTCGCCCACACCCGTGACCATGAGGGGCCACATCGTGTCACCCTGCACACATCATTGGCCACATCTCCTACCTTCGGCCACCACTGGCCGCATACGCGCGCAGTAGCCCACCGTCGCCCACGTTTTGCCACAAACAAACAAACAAACAATTTTATTTCATATGACCCTCCTTACACTCGAGGGAAAAAGGACAAAAACAGCATACAACGCAAGAAGCAAATGAAGCTCGACTTGTAACTAAGACTCGGTGGACTGTCGAATCTTATCATGCTCGATTGAAAAAATGGCGGTTCTTCTCTGACAGAATCGAAAATCAACTATTACCAAAACTGCAGGACTGTGTGAGAACAGTTTCTGCTGCGTTAAATTGTTTTAGGGGATCAATAGTCAAAGATCATAATACGATTCACATGGACAAAATGGCACAGCTAATGAAAAATTGTCTTAGCCAAAACAATTACCTTGCTACCTTGGCTGAGCAAGGAAAAGAATTGACGAAGTGGATTTTGATTTTCCGGAAATGGAATTAGATGATTTACGTAATCTTTTCTTTGGATCATATCAAATCAAGCAAAGCCAAACTTACGCTGAGGAACATCTTGATGTGAATGGCGATTTTGCCATACAAGTTTCGAAGGAAACAGATCGAATTATACGCTGTGCTATTCAGAGTCGACATAGCAGCTCTACAAGATACTACGTTTGGACTGAATTTTCTCTGACTGGAGATCCTATTACATCTTGGTATTGCCAATGCAAGTCAGGTGCTCGAACTGTGGGAGCCTGCGCACATTAAGCCACTATCATATGGTATCTTTCTTACGCGAGACATCATAGTTTTCGATCTTCAAGTGGGTGCCGACGAATACAACAGTCAATCGAAAAAATAGAATTAGAAGATGACGAAGACGAAGGCAACAGCAGTGAACATTGAACAATATGAATCAATCAATAGACATTCGCCGACTTCCTCATGAGAGAACTTGGATACAAGCGAACACTGAAAAAAAAATCCGGATAGTCACCTACCCTTGCCTTTAAAAATTATGTTGATAAATCGTTGAAAGGTTTATACTACTTGGAACTACCCTGGAATGGTTTATTAGGTGAACCGTTCATTAGGGAGAGGGTTCATTGAAAATGAAAGGGTATATTAATGTGATAAAAAGGTTTATCATGCTACGATTTGGTCAAAAGAGTACAATGCACAACTGATTTCCGTACACCACTATTTGCTCTTTAGATAAGGGTATTCTATTGTGCATCTTGAGGTTTAGTTTTCTACTTTTTATTTTAAAGGATACATTTTGCTGCTTCACAGAGTATAGTGTTCTACTCTTTCATAAAAATGTTTATTATTCTACTTTTACGGGTACAGTCTCCGACGTTTTTCTTCGACCCATTGATCATTGAACCCTCAGTCGTAACACTTTTTGTATCTGTGCCAAAAGAGTATATTATTGCACGAAGAGTGTCACACTGTAGGTTCTCATTCATAAGCGTTTATTATTCTACTAGCACCTGTTGTATCCTATACTCTTTTGTCATAAAGGGTAGTTTCTACATTGCCCTAAGGTATATTCAACTTCTCTTTAATTCATCACAGTTTATCATTATTTAACTAAGAGTTTATCCGACCGATTTTTTCTTTCGAAGAATTTAGAATTCTACAAATGAGGGTTTGATACTATCGGACTGCTTGTCCAGTGGTTTATCCAGATACGTGAAAGGATTTATTATCGTCGGGCTGCTTGTCCAGCGGTTTATCCAGATACGTGAAAGGGTTTATTATCGTCGGACTGCTTGTCCAGTGGTTTATCGAGATACCCAAAATATTTACTATAGTATTGCGTTCTTGGAAAGGTATATTTTCCTACGTGAAAATACAAAATTTGAAGTGTTCTTTAATACTATGTAAGGTCATTTTTTAATGGAATGTACCATATGAATATGATTGACAGAGGTCGACGTCACATAATTGTGAGAAGCGAGGGAAAGCTGGCTTGCGAATGTGTTCATAAGCACCATCAACGTCTCAATTGAATACAGCGAGGAGATAAAAAGATATAACACGCACGTCTTTCTTACGGTGGACCAAAAAGCTAGATACAAATATAGCGAGACAAAAGCATTATATATTACTAATCCATAACACCATCTATCAAACGTTTCCATGATTAAACGAAATGTATAATAGACATAGATCAGCCATTCGAAGCAGCGGACTGTTGTATTTGTCTGGTGATATCTATCGATGTCTTTGTGATGCGGTATACCGGTATACTATCTCACATTTTTCAAATCGTACTTTATTAACAAACGCTGTCAAATACGTGTCTCCTGCATTCTAGATAAATTACTTCTGTAACAATGAACTGGTCGTGCAAAGAAGTTATCAGCTGGTGCAAATCATTTATCGATGATGATTCTATCTTATGTCGATTGGAAGGTCAGTTTGGTTTTACTTATTAGGAAAATGCGTGTTTTTTATGAGTCATGAAAATTAACTACGGCCATTTCGTTTACTTTTGAATGTCTTCTGATGTTTTTAACGACGAATGCGTGCCCGATGGCAAAGTATAGATTTATAACAGTTTGTTTTTACTTTCCAGGCTACGTTTTCTCCTTTTCCCTCTCTAATACGGTGACAGCATGTGTTTATATTAAGAGAACAGTTGTAGCACATGTTGTTTTCATTTGATTGGTTTGTAGATAGCTCGTCTTTTCGCCTTTAAAATAATCGTAAAGCATATCCTACAAGGACTTTATCTGTTTCTTCTTATAAATAAACGTCGGACGAAATTCCTCTCTTTGCTCTCCACATTTTATACGAATATTTCATGGCATCCTTCATTTGTCCATCTTGTGTAACAACTCGAAATTTTGATAATCTCGCCAAAATATTCCGACATGTAACTGTTTACCACCAGAATGATCCGAATTTTAATCTTACTTGCGATCTACATCGCACATGCGGTGTTCTATACAAAACATACTCGGCGTACAAGGCACATATCTACCGACAACATTCCGCACAACTTTATTCAACAACGAACAACAGTAGCAGCAGGAATAACATTGACTTTCTTGTCGACAATCGGGCACAAGAGCATGCCAATTCACCTACTAATCTGGAGACATTCAATCATTTTCCTGCCAATGATGAAGACGAAGACGAAGATACATCAGATTTTCTCTATGATGAAGCTGAATCGACAGTAGAAATCAATGAATATATACCAACGTTTTCATTTTCAACATCGAATTTCAATTCAGCGAACAATGATGGAAAGAACTTAGCATCTATCCTTGATATGAAAAGAAGTTATATCTCTTTTATATTGTATTTGCGGGAAGAATATCTGTTACCGAAGAAAATAACTCAAGCTATTTCTGATTACATTGTGAGTCTGATTGAACATATCCAGCTTTTATTCGAAGAAAAAGCTAGTTTTTATTATGCCGACACTAATGCATTTCCAGAAACATTTACTCAAAGAAAAAAAACTAAAGCTGTGGATTGTGATCTGTTGAAAAATATATTGAGTGATATAGGCGAATCAATCAAGTGTATTAGTAAGAATGAATATCAATTAGTCAAAACTTGTCAAGAATATTTCGGTTATACATCACCGGAAGAAGTTATTCTTTCATCTGCAGGTGAAAATATAGAACGTGGCTACATTATTCCATTAGAAAAAACTCTGTCATTGATGCTCAATTCTCAACCGCTTCTCGCTCAAATTCTCCAAAATGTTCAACAACAACGAGTGTCAACAGATATGGATGATGATTTAATGTTTTCTATACGAGATGCCTACCATGGAAAGAAGCTAGATGAGGAAACTCTGTTAATTCAATTGTACTTAGATGATATTAGTCTTACAAATCCTCTCGGTTCCAAACGTGACAAGCACAAAATGTGTATGCTGTACTTTTCACTTGAGGACATTCCTTATCAATACAGATCCAAACTCGATTTTGTTCACTTAGTTGGTATATGTGAAAGTCGAATTCTTAAGGTAAATCTCGCTGAAGAAAATCAACTGATAAACTGTAATTTCGGTGTTGAGAAAATTTCATGACTTTCGAACGAAGTCGACCAAATCTTTGTTTGTCTTACGTACTACTAAGTTTTTACAAACATTGCTAAAGTCGCTGTTTTATCTTATTTGAAAAAAGATTCAATCACGCTTTCGCATACTCTACTGATAAGATCTCATCCTGAATATAGAGATTTCTCCAGTATACGTTCTGTTTTCGTTTTCGAGGATACTACCAAAGCCAAGAGATTCTTACAACCTGTTATTGACAATTTGAACCAATTGCAATTGCATGAACTTGTTGTAAATGGTAATCACCTCAAATTCTCATTTTCCACCATTGTCGCTGACAATTTAGCTGCTCACATGGTTGGAGGTTTCCAAACATGTTTCAGCAACGGGTTCTTCTGTCGTCGATGCTACATCACATATGCTGACAAAAATTTACCGATTCCGTTAACACAAATCAAAAGTCGAATGATAAACGATCATGATGGTTTAGTACATGAGCTGATCCACAATCCTAATAAGTCCCCTCTGATGGGTGTTGTTGGTCCTAGTTTATTTGATGATCTTATCGGTTTCCATGCAACTACTTCACTATCAGCGGATTGCATGCATGATTTTCTCGAAGGAGTTTGTCCCATTGTTATTATGTGTTTACTGAAAGAAGCTTCATCAATGCGTTTGCTTACATATGGTGAGATACAGCTTTTTTGCTTAGCGCACATTTGTCGAGTTTTATTAACATCAGTTCGTTATACATCATTCATATAGAAGTTAATGAACGAGATTATCTTGTTCTTTTATACCTTCATTCAGTCGGTTCGTTTTCTGATTGACAAAAGTTTTCATAAGCCTTGCAATTAAAGAAATATTTCTATGAACCAGTTTTGAAGAATATGCTCCTGACTAAACTCACAGTGATTTACTGAATGTTGTCGCTCAAACACGTTTGAATGAATTAATAGTGCTAAGTGTGTTCTCTTTTTATAAAGTTGAGATTGAAAAGCGTATGGTTAATTTCAATTACGGACATTTCGACAAAAGCAATCAACCACCACCAATACAGGTGAAACATCTTCAGAATGATCGCATTGTTGCTACTGCTGCAGAAAAATTATGTATGTTCAAGTTATTTCCGATCCTGTTTTATGACATCATTCATCACTTATCCGGATTTATTGTTTATAAAATTTTACGCGAGATCTTAGATCTGACATTATCGCTTCCATTTCGGAAGCAATGGCTTCCGGTTCTCGCAGATCTGTGTGAAACATTTCATTTGAAAATGCTAGCATGTTTTCCAGACAAAATGATTCCAAAAGTTCACTTTGTTCGTGAATCTCAACAGATAATACACGATTACGGACCACCAATCAAAAACTGGTGTTTTCGATACGAAGCATCTCATTATTACTTCAAAAAGATTATGATGAGATCAAACAATTTTAAGAATGTTCCAAAAACACTTGCAACACGTTACTGTCTCAAGCAACATTTCAAATCTGATTATTTGTATCAGTTGAAAGATTTTATTTATCCAATTTCGATAAAAAAAGCTCGAACAACATGTTTTAGTATGGCAATGAAGAAGTTATTGGCCAATGAGCTCGGGTGGGATGAACTCGACGAATCTGTATTACATTGCCTTAGGTTGGTTTGCGATACTAGCGAATACTGTCGGTCTGCTGTTTACGTGGTAGATTTATTACATTTTAATGAACAACCAGTATTCGCTCAAATTGTTTTTATTGTTAAAGTGGAGGAGAAATGGTGGTTACTGGTAGATTTATTGGAGACAGTCGCATACAATGAAGAATATTTCGCATGGGAAATCAAATCATCCGATCGTTACTCGATTATAGATCCGTGCCGATTAAAATATTATTACAAAGGATTAGACATTTACGAAGTGAACCACTCGAGCTTCGTTTCCTTCACTGCTCGACTCACACCATACGAATGAATGTTCACCAGATAAAGTTTCAAAAACTCATACTTTTGATAGAATATACGATTCCACATTTTTAATTCAATTTCTCTCTCTCATTTACATAAGTACCAAACAAGCGTCAACATAGTTTTGAAAAGAAATAGTTAATTCACGTTGCGACAGAAGGGAAAATGGAAATGTTTGAGGACCATCAATGGTTATCTTTCGATCAAAAACATTTTACTGTGGTGTACTTATTGATTTCGAATCTGTGTCTAAGATATATCACAACTAGAAGTAAAGCTCACAGTTGATAAATATCTGATCAGATGTGCCATTTTAAAAGATTGTTACAAACATATGTTTTGAACTTTATGCATTCGAAAGTTTCATCGTTTTCTTCGTCTGATAAAAAAAATCATTGTGTTTTCATTGTGCATGATATCTCGGTTAGCTTCATGCTTTTGGTAAATGAAGACTTTTTACTTTGTGATTTTTTATACTGCAACTAGTTTCATTTTACGTTTAGAGTTTGATGTTGATGGCAAAACATTGGAAATGATGAACAATGTCGAACGTATATCAGTAGTAATTCCGAAATTTAAACAACAATTGATTTTCTTGGAAGAGCGTGAGAAGCTGTTCGAAACGATAAATGATTGTTCCATTGAATTCTCCAATTCGTCGTTCAGCACCTCAACAGATTCTCAACCAACCTCTATTGTTCCGCTAAATTCACAAGCATCATCTCTTGAATCTGAATCAACACCCGATGCTGTACCAAAATCATCTGTTAACCAATCGTCTTCTGGTCCATCCGTTCGTGAAGAAGAAACGTACGAAGATTTTCCAAAAGAATATGTAATTCCAACATTACCCAATGCAGTACTTAATGATATCGCAAAAGGAGATTTGAAAAACTTCGGACCACATTGTGCCAATCGACAAATTCTCATTGATACCGTAGCTTTTGATCTTATCGACAAGTTCAATCTATTGTAAGTCGTATAGTTTCGCACAGAGCTATGTGACTATGTACTAGAAACAACGACATGGTCATACATGTTTAATCTTTGCCATATGAATATCACATGATAATTCGATTTGTTCATTCACAAAATATACATGTGTTGGAACCTGAAGTAACATATTTCTGGTATCGATACCAGCAATTTCAGTATACACAGTTACGACTTCATCCATTTTCCTAGTAAATAAATTGTGAATCTATGGTCCACCAGACTCACAAGCTTTGCCGTAGAAAAACTAGAGAAAGTGTCGAAAGATTCAGAAGAGCATGACGAGAAATAATTCTCCCTTAAATATCTACGGCAATAGTGGAAATATCAAATGCGATGCGAAAATTTCTGTGAATTCGAATTGTGTCTGTTTATATAATTTTTTGTTGTGAACAAAGTTCTTTTGTTTAAAACTGTTCATGACATGATCTTGCTGATCATTGACTTTACAGCGAGTTTTCGTCGTCGAACATTTTTCTTTTGTATTTAGTTATCCGACTCATACACAATTTGACAATATTGGTACTGCTATTGTGAAAATTTTGAAGTTACCGGTGACAAAGCAGAATATTGTAAGCTTACTCATTGCCACTGTACTACTTTATTTTTATTTCCTTTAGTCAATTTCGAAAGATGCTTTGCAAACGAAGTTAAAGCGTAAACGAGTGGAACACCGTGATAACAGTGTTGTGCAAGACTACGTACTCAAATATTCAAAGGCAGGTTCTGGCCGTCCAGTAAAACGAAAGATCGGCGAAACAGCACAACGTGATCGATATAAACAAGTATGTTAGAGAGCTATCCTCGTGTTTTTTTTTCATCCTTTTCTCTTATAGATGGCAGTGATCCATTTCGATGATGGGCCATCCAATGAAATGCAAGTTAAATCGAATCAGTTGCGTGATGTAACTGGTATGGATGTAGCAACTCAAGTGAAATTATGGAAGGAAACGGTGCATTATCGTCGAAAAGAAGTCAGAGATCAATCAACAATCGACATTCTCAAGAAGTTTCCTGGTTATACAAATTCGGTGTTCGTAAGTCAAATCATCAATCTGTTTTTGGTAATATATACATTCGTGTTATTTCTAGATTTTCGAAGAAGTTAAAACGTTGACGAATATCGATTTAAGTGCTGCGATACGACGACAAGTACCTGCTTTACTCGACAAAATAGTTGAAACTCCGACATTCGTCACTGGTAGATATAGTTTATCCCAATTAATTTGCTTGAAAAAAGCTTTCGTTTAATTTAGATTCGCTTCCAATTCAATTAATCAAAATTTTGTGTAAACAATTTGATGAAACTGCTCAACATACGTTTAGTGAAACTGTAAGTATTACTTCTTGAAGTTATAAATTCGCTTGCTGCGGTGTAAATCAGAGCACCGAACTCCTTAAGCTTGCCCGAATTCAACCCATAAAGTCAACCGATAGCTACTATGGCAAGAAAATCAAGATAGTTTACTCCAGGATGTTGATGACAATTGTTCATTCTATTCGATATTTTTATCTTCGGCGAGAGGTCTTTCATAATAGTCATTCTTTATATCGCAGAGTTTGTTAAAATCATTCAATTGTGCATCAATATGTTGCATATTTGATTGAAATAATCATCAGCAAATAATATTTTGACTATTTAATAATATTTCTTGTTCCAGGAACCGTTTACGCCGTATCCTACAATGGTGCTTACTGACGACTTGATCCACATTTATGTTGACTTTAATCTTATTGTATCAACAGCTTCACCGAATGACGCATTAGCATTATTGATTGCAATGTATACAATCTTCGAATTAAGTTTCAACAAGAAAAGTCGAACAATTCGCTTTCTCTATTCGTTGTTGCACAGTGATAAGCGTTTTCTTTCAAATTCGATTCGTATATTTATCAAAGAGAAAAATATTGATTTATACGGCGAACAATAATATCAATCGTCATCAACTTCTTCAAATTCTGTATCGAATATTCAAATAGGTTTGATTGATATGCAACGGTCTCAATCTGAAGCTGATGAACAATGTAATCCTTTCGATGAACACGATCTTCCTGTTGTTGAAACAAGAAAAGACGAGAATGATTCCATGGATACTTTTGATTCAAGCTCGAAGGCTATTATCGACACGAATAGGTATGCTCCACTTTCATAACCAATTGAATTAAATGTTCGATATGTTCTCGCTCTCTAGTATTGATTCCGAAGAAGTTGCACCAGCAGCAGATCTTCGTTCACAGCAGGTTTCGACACGACAAAGACGAAAGAGAAATCGAAATCTTGATACTCAAAATGTTATATCTTCAACAGATGCTGAAGAAAGTCAACAGCAAAGCGAATCTCAATTACACATCCCCCTGAATGATTTAACTAATTCATCATCAAAGTCTCGCCAGATTAAACGAAGACGCCGATATTGATATGACTCTTTCGATTTGCAACATATAATGGACAACTTTAGTTCGATTTTTTCCCGTCGAGATTCGTGTTAAAAAGAGATGGTCGATTTTTTTCATGCTAATTTCTTCGTCTATTATACGTATCTATTGTTAAAAGTCTCCAAAAGGGTAACCAACTTCTTTTCGATTTTCTTCATTCTTTATCACAAGCAGTGGTCTGCTCTTTCTTTTTATTTACTATTTTTCTTCTTTCTTCGCCGTTCATTCAAATGTAAAACAAGAAAAAGATATAAAAATGTTAATTTTAAAGGAATCTGGGTTCATCTTCACTCATCAAGATTTTTTACTTATGATATTGATTCAGTTTATTAAAAGAGCAGTTATACAGAAATATTTCAAACGATTAGCCTTATTTTTTTCTCTTGATGTTTTGGTAGCTTAAGATATTTCATTGATGCCATCGAATTCATCAACAAACTTGAATATTTTCTCATAAATTGCTTTGATATATTCCATTAGTCACGGAATGCAAACGTTATCAGTTCATATATTTATTATTCTTGTTTACAATCTTAGTATCTCTTCTTTCGTTATTTTTCATTACTTATTCAAAGTCGACAATGCCAAATAAATAACGGTAAAGTAAGTAATGCGTGTGCTTTGTTTGTTTTTCTGTTTGCTCTTTTATATTTAGAGATTGAACTTATACAATACCATTTCTGATTCACATCAAACCGCCGTTGATTTCAACTGAAATTCTCTTTCCACTCAATTGGCTATGCTTAGTAGCCTCAAACAACTAATCAATGAACAGGTCAGTTAAATGTGCTTTCTAATTTTGATTTTCAACTAACTATTTCATTCTCCTAATGTTCAGTGTTGAGTGAAAACGAGGAGTAGCTTGCTTATTTTCACTCTCTTCCAGTTTACTGCTATTCAAATGTGAACTTAGTATCACAAGCGGTCAGTTTCACATCAATTGTTGGATATATTTACAATATGTGTCACTCTTCTTTATCTATCTCATTCAGTCTCTCCTTCTTTTCGCGTTTTTAAAGCCAAACTAAATTAAGCTGACTCGTCCTTTAGTAGCCCTTTAAATGTTTCTCCTTCGCCAATATGGAACTTAACCAATTTACAAATCATATTCATCATATTCTATTAACAATATTACTGGCAACGATTCATTTTTATCTCTTTAGGATAGGGATGACTTTGCGCCTTGGATAAACCATTAACAGCATTCTTGTGATCAACTTAGTCTCAACATACAGTCGATTTTTTCTTTTGTCCTATTTCAGATTCCACTTGATGAAAAGATCCTTTTATAATCGGTTGAACAAACGAAACTATCCTATACTCATAGATATTCCAGTTGATTGAGCTGATCGACTAACTACTATACCTTGAATAATATCACCAGTATGCTGCTGAGCGGCTGGTAAACTATCCCAGAAAAATTTCCAGTTATTTCATAAACTAGCAAACATTAGAACAGCCCCTATCTTCCATCCATCGATGAATGGTAAAACCAACCAGCACCTTGTTAAACCTTAAGATTAACTCTAAGATAGTTGATAGAGCAGATCAATGTGAGAATATACCCTCATATATACATGTTGATGGTTTCAGGCACGGATCAGCGTGGGAATGAACCATTTGATAAACCTGTTGATGGTTTCAGGCATGAATCAAAGTGGGAATATACCTTTGGATGTATTGTTATCTCGTTGATCCAAAAGATATGCTAGTTTATCTGTCCTTTAATGAACCCTCCTATTTTTCATGTGGATGATAAACGTGTTTCATGAACGGAAGTAGGAAAAAACTGATCGTTTTTCATCTTCTTATACGTGTTTATATACGGAAATGTTAATGTGATTCAACGAGTTGTGCAATTGGATATACGCTCATCTTAAGGGTTTTTGAAAATGCAACGTATAACAAACCGTTTTCAGATATTTCTAAAATAAAAACGTTTTAATAAACCTTTTGATGAAAGATACTTAAAATCTATAAATCCTTTTTTTGACTATATTTTGGCGTATATGAAATGGTTTATTACGTTCTGATAAACGGCAAAAAAGGGTTTGTTATACGTTGCATTTTCAAAAACCCTTTTAAAGTTTATCATTCGTCGGATTTTTTTTTCAGTGCATATTAAAAACATCCTTCATCGCACGACAATATCATCCGTCGTTTATTTTCTGCTTATATGGTGTAAACCGATTGAGAAGCGTTGCCTATAGTTTGCTCTTCGTCTTGTTGCTTGTTATTCAAGCAGCTATATTGAGAAGGAAAGAAAAGAAAGAAAGATGCAATTTTTTTAATGGCTGTTTGAGGATAAATAGCTACGGCATCTTTTGTTTTGCTTCAGATGGTTCGGCGAACATATTTAGCCTGTTTAATTACTTGTTCTATCATGGATAAATGCGCTTTGATAGTTTTTTATTTCGTTTTGTAAGAGCGGATCCAAGAAGTCGTCGTGAAATCGAGACACTCGGAAGTTTTTCTGTTAATTTAACGATCTCATTTTGTTTAGCATAGTTAAAAACCTTCGAATTCAAAGTTTTAACGCTTTTGTGGAAAAAATGGAGAAATATGTCTGTTTCGCCTGAGATCGAGCTTGAAACCATTGAGAAAAATTTCAAATATTTGTAGTCATTAAATGGCGGTCGTTTTCAACATTGAAAACACTGCAAAATTTTTATTACAATATGAAATAAGGTAGAGCATCGAAAGTTGAATAAAATCACCTATTTACATACTATTTTTCTGAGAACCAATGAGTAGTTATTTAACAAGTATTAATTCTTTGTTGGTCATCTTTGAGTGACAAAGAAACTGATTTTTTCTAGTATATCACACTTAACTCAGCTAAGAGATGATAACTAAGGCTACATTATTTTACATGTTGTAGGACTGCTTCTACTCGAAGAGATGGTAGAAAAGTGTAGAAAAAATCACATGATCTGCCTGAAAATGATCTCACATATTTTGATTCTAGCGGTTTTTGAGAGTTTTTTGACAAAAATTGGACTTTATCCCTTTTACCTTCTAGTCTATATTATCAGCCGATCGGCAAGTAAATTTGATATTTAGAATCAGTGTTAATAAATGCCGAAGCGTGAATTATTATCCGAGAGCTATGTGTACTGCAACCTCTGCATCGGTAGATATAGAGATTTCCCAAAAGAATATCAATATTTTACAATGACTCAGGAAGGACTTAATGAATTTGGCGCATCTTTGAACGCACCTAAGTAAAAATTTCACCTTGATCCGACTCTTCGTCTTAGAGTTATCACATAAATGGAGGCCGACCACATTCATCAATTACAGTAGTACTCCTATTTTCTGAGATAGTAAACGGTTCCAATTGATTATATGGAGAACGAGTAAAGAAATTCTTCGCTGATGCAAGTGATTACATATTTGACACTAACTCCTCTCCACGTCCTATCAGGTACAAGGAGGACATTCGTCGGATTTAATGAGTGACTTCTTAGTGCATGCAAACAGAAATTTCATGAATGCATTGTCGAAAACAAATTGAACCGTGTTACTTTTTGAGATTCCTGTAGCATTCTGATTTGACTTCGACAACGCCCATTTATTCTTCGAATGCATTCTATCATACAACTATTCTGTTATAAGTATATACTTAAGCAGAGTTCTACTATAGGATTTATAGACTCGTCGGCACGCCTATAGTATAGCATATTAGGACCTAAGGGCACTTCTAGCAAATTGAGTCAAGTTATTTATGTTTTAAATCATTATCTATGAAATTTGTTTTTTGAAGAAAATATCTTTACTCCTTCCTCAGGGGTGGTCTGATGATTTCTGATAATTTTTAGAATAATTCAGCCATTTCGTGACTGATTCTTTTCATAGTCAAACTCAACCGAAACATTGATAAGGTAATTTTGTGCACAAAAACTTGGGTTCAATCTCATGTATTTTTGGAGAATTACAGGATAAACGGTGGGTTGGACACCCTGATCGATTTCAGGTGTACTGAATTTTTAAGTACACGAAAAGAGGTAAAAAAGCGAGGTGCAAATTTGAAAGTTATCGATATCTAGTTTTTCATCGAAAAGTCTATCTTAGAGCTTTAGTTCCCTTTTCCTAAATACATAAATAGATACTCCGGACCGTGCTGAGTCAATCAGCGATCCTGAAACAAAAAATGTGAAGTTACAAGCTGTAATTCATTGAAAAGCTAGACCTTCGTGGACTCTAAATTTGGAGTTCGCTTTTTCTACTACGAAAAGTACGTATAAGTAGTTTTTTCGAAAAGCCAGATCTATGATCGCGAATATCCTATAAATCCAGGCTAGGACGTCGGAAATAAAAATGAACAATTTTACCCCGGATGGACTTCGAAATTTCTATAGTAAAAATTACAATTCATATTATCATCATTTAGAGAAGCAATCCAGATTCCTTATTGTTAAGGCTTTCATAGCTATCTAACATATACAGCAGCGCAGAAAGATATTTTCTTATTTTAGCTTATTAAATCCATTAAAAACATACTTTACAAACATGGCATCATCTACTTCAATGCCGAAAAAGTTTGACATGATCAACATAGTGGAAGATGAAAAGTTTGTGCAAATTTTCGCATTTGATGAAAACACAGTGAAATTGTCATCGGATAAACGGTCGGTGGAGAATAGTATGTGGAAACCGGCCTGTGCTCTTGGAGTTCATTCATATTCATCTGGTGTTCATCGCATCCGAACGAGAATAGATAAATGGCTTCCGTTTCTAGGTATTCGATCCCGAAATATTCCATTTGACGTAAGGTCTTCCTCTGCCTGTGGTTACACCTCTACAGATTCAACGTATGGTTGGACTAAAGATTCTCGCTATCAAGACGGCCGAAAGACGACAAGTGAGCGGGATCAGAAGTTTAATAGAGATGGCCATATATGGACAATTATATTGAACTGTGACGAACACCGAATACATCTGTTCGATGAAACAACCAATGAAGTAGACGATATAGAAGTTGACGTTGATAAAGCACCTTTTCCTTGGTGCCTCTTTATTTGTCTTCCTCGAATGATAGCTGGAATATCACTAATATGAACACGACAGAAAACATTTGGGTTGGGGTGTGGGTATGATTGAAGAAAAGATAATAATATACAGTCACACACCCATACCCTCAAGATGCTACATCCCTTTTCAGAATATTAGTACGATAATGATCAGCTCAACGAAGGAAATAAAATATATACTATCAAAAAATATATCTCTTCAAAAATCTGTATATTCTAAACATAAATTCGTTAGTAGGCAAATGCTTGACGGTGTTGTATGAACAGCATCAAAGAGTTTTGATTGAGAATACCAGCGATGATGAACAATATAACAAATGCGTTTACAGTAAATACATCAAATAATTTGAAAACAGATTGACTTCTTCTTAAATGAAGAAAAATAAGATCAATCTGCTGCATCTCAAAGTTTACTTCTTCAGGAATCGATATCTGTCCAATAAGATAAATTTAATATGGAAAATAGAGTACTGTTTATTCAAATTGATAGAAAACAAATCAGTCTATATAGCGAAGATATAAACTAATTTTCTAGTTCCAACTCTTGCTTTTCAGCAATCGACTAGGGGTACATATACTTCAGTTCATCAGCTTTAGGCTATGAAAACAGCTTATCCAGTGGCGGTACGACCGGGAGGAAGGCTGAGAAGAGCGAACCCTACTGAGCTTTCACATTTCCGCGCTAAGACTGACCTTATTTTATCGAATTTAAAGACTCCAAACGGTTCAGTTCAGTGAACTGAACTATGTGTACCCCTACAATCGACCTAATGTCCAAAATAATGAATAAATAAATGCAGGTATTTACTTCGCCGACGCGTTTCATGTACTTATTTAAAAATAAAAAATAAGAAACACTCATCAGGGCTTTATTTTAATTTTAATGTTAGAAATGTTCGATCTTTTATTGTTCTTTTTTGTGTACTCAAAAAGTGACTACACTACTAGAATCGGTCTGTATGTCCGTCCGTTCGTTAATCCAATAACTCATAAAAAATGCAAGCAATGGAGCGATATTTTTTTGCACATTACCGTCTCATCAATATCTCGGTCGAGTTCGAAGATGAGACCAATTGACACAGAAATGGCTGAGTTGTCGTAAAAACTTTCCAAACTAATAAGTCCATTCCTGAGGGAGAGTATAGGGATCTTCACAAAAAACAAAAACTCGCAGGAAATTGTTAGTTATATATGCAACTTGACTCCTTTCGACAGAAGTGCACGCAAGTCCTTATGCGCTGTATCACCGAAGTACTCGTAGGTCCTCAAGTCCCATACTATAAGGATACCCTTAGGTTACCAAGGCGTTTGAGGGCATGAGTTTGAAAATAGGATAGGAAAGAAACTTTAATTAGTAATCACTTCTCATCTGTCCACGACTCGATCTAATCGAATCCATTTAAGGTATCCACAGCGATATGCTCAGATAAGTACGAAAAACTTATCCAAAAAGATCATGAAATCAAAGCAGGACTCGAACCCACATCTTCCGATAACCGGTCGGATATTCTACCAGTTAAACTATCTGATTTTCTCTTCTGCTAGTTAATAACAACATGTCAAAACGAAGAATAAAACGAAATCAGATAGTTTAACTGGTCGAATAGCCGACCGGTTATCGGAAGATGTGAGTTCGAGTCCTGCTCTGATTCTGTGATCTTTTTGAATAAGTTTCTCGTACTTATTTGAACACGTCACTGTGGACACTTTGAATACATTCGAGTGTTTAGTCTCGTGGACAGATGAGAGATTGCTAATACTTGATTCTTTCATTTTCTATGTTCAAACTCACACCCTCACACCTTCACGAGTTCTTTAGACGGAACGAAACCAGTTATGGCAGCTAATAAACTCACCATTTACGTAAGAAATAACTACGTTTTATTGTTTTATTAGAAATTGTGTATATGTTGGATGTTTCGACTTTCATAACATACATATTACCAATAACTACGGTATAGTTGTAATAATTCTGAACATACCTGACGATGAAAGGATTAAGCCCCTTTCGAAACGCATCGTATGATTGCTTTGAATTATTATTTTCTTTGTAAACTCACCCTCACCCTCAAGATCCAAAATTCAGAGGGATCATTATCTATGAAAGTGAAATGTTTCTTTTGTATTCTGGTTGTTTTTATATTCACAATATTCACTTATTTGACATACGATCATGGAATGAGTAACCGTATCATTCCTCTTTCGCCCCTATTCTTTCATATGACTCATTGTTAATAAAACAACTTATAGGAAGAAAAATAGAACTATATGCTTCCAATAGTTTTTGTGTACTCAAAAAGTGAGTACGCTACTAGAATCGGTCTGTATGTCCGTCTGTTCGTCCGTTAATCCGATAACTCATGAAAAATACGAGCAACGGAGTGATTCTCTTTTGCACATTATCGTGTCATCAATATTTCGATCGAGTTCGAAGATGAGCAGGATCGGTAGAGAAATGGCTGAGTTGTCGTAAACACTCTCAAAACTAATAAATCAATCCCTGAGGAGAAGAACAGAGATTTTCACAGAACCCAAAAATTCGCAGGAAATTCCCAACTATATATGCAACTCGACTCCTTTTGATAGAAGTGCACACAAGTCCTGAGGTGCTATACCACCGAGGTACCCGTAGGTTTCCAAGTCCTGCAGTAGGGGGTGCCTTTGGGTCCTCAAATCCCATACTATGCGAATACCTATAGATCTTCATGTCCTATCTAATGCGGGTATCATTAGGCCATCTAGGCGTTTAATATGTGGGTGCTCTATGATCTTTGTATGCTATACTATGAGAGTGGTCAAGACTTGTTTTGCGCTAAAGCGTGAAGATGCCTTAGACTTTACAGTTTTAAACTATGAAGACGTTCTTGAGTTTTATATGTAGTTTCCGTAGCTGTCGTGGAGTTTTCTGAAAAGTAGCGTTATAGCAATATGTCGCTTAGGTTTGCATTACTCGGCTGCTCGGACTTATCTTTCGTTGTTCATTATAAAATCTTGATATCATATTCAAAGTGCTCTGTCCAAGGGGGAAAAAGCACTTTGTGATTTATGTGATTTAAATGATTTAATTCTAATACTTAGATGATTTAAATCACCAAAACTCATTTTTTCATATGATTTAATGTGATTTAAAGTGATTTATCTATGATTTTGACGTGCTTTAAGTCAACTTTTTCGCCCTTGGCTCTGTCGCTTAAGTTTCATACACTTTTTAGAGTACATATAACTTTCGGATAAAATCCGAAGTTTCCGCATTTATTTCATATAATATCGGGTCTATATCTGGTTGTGGATATGGTTTACAAGCTGGAGGAGAATGTGCGGTCGTATTTATAACATGATGAATACACGTTTTAGCGATATTATGTTTATCAATATTGAAGGAAGAGAAATAACGAACTAGCAATTGATAGAGTGCATCTGCTTGAGATGAATCCTCAATTGACTGAATTAAATCATCGAGAGAAGTTAGAATAGAGTCTGAAGGCGTATGTATTGTATTACAACAGAATACGTTTATAGAATAATGAAAAGAGTTTTGATCTGTAATGCATGAGAGAAGAGTATCTTGTACAGGTAATGTAAGTGAAATATCTCCTGAATGAATGACCGGAATTGACGAATCACCAGTGATGGTGGTATCATCAATTGATGAAGAGATTTGTGGAAGGATGGCAGGTAAGAAATAAGAAGATGGAGTAGAAGTAATATATCCTAAACTATCACTTTTCTTGAGTGGTTGTGCTTGATCCATACTCATAGTCACTGCCTGATTATCATATTCAATAGAAATTGTTTGATATTTCATATTAAAACTGAGATTATAAGAATTGATATAATCCATGCCTAAGATCATCATGTTAGTACAGAGATTATCAGCGATTTGAGCGATAACAATGGTCAAAGAATTAGCGAATTGAAGAGTTAATTGAACTGTATCTAACACACGAAATGGTGCTATTCCGTCTGCAAGAACAAAAGAATATGGTGTGCTGTCAATCACTTGGTAGTGCTTCAAATGTGTCAGTAAATTTTTATGAATGAAAGTTGTGGTTGCTCCAGTATCAAGTAAGATTTTCGTTGGATAGTGATTGACAAACGCAGTAAATTAGATTAAGGGAGGTTTTCATGGGTTTAGAAAAGGTTTACCGGAGACAACACCATCTGACGATGTCCCTGTACTTAAAAACGCGGACAGGTGGAAGCCTCGTGTCCGAGTTGGTTACACTGACTGCAGGGAAAAGATGAAAGTGATTCTGAAATATTATCTGTATCAACTGATGGATCAGAAAGATCTATGACATTAGCAGTATACTTTTGAATAGGTGGTTTAGTTGAAGTATTGGTATTAGAAGAAGAGTTTTTACGACTATTAATATGGTAATTATTGCTATTACCATTACTATTACTACTACTATTACTAAAGTTATTCTGAGGATGTGGTTGATTCTGTTGCGGAAATGTATTATTTGCTTGGGATTTAGTTTGAAATGATCGAGGTGTTTGCTGTTGAAAATTTCTGGATTGAAAAAAGGAGTTTCTGTTATTCGAGTTGCGATTTCGACTATTATAGTTTCGGAAATTTGTAGAAGGATGAGTATTCTGTTGCATAGAATAGGACGGAACTGTATTCGATGACGCGAAAGGTGATGATGGCATCATTTGCGTCTGACGCATCGAATAATCAATAGGATTGATATCGGGATTATAAGTAATATTTGACAACTGAATAAGTTCTTTTGCTTCTTTAGCGAATGTAAGACATTCATTCGTAGATTGAGGTTTCTTTTTGCGTACTTCGTATTGAATAGTAGGTTTAGCTTTATTTAAAAGGTTTTTTTTAATTTAGTCGCTTCACTTCTAGTAGAATCTGCTTCTTTACAAAGTTTTAACACTTCACTATGAAAACTATGAATCATTTGATTTTCTCCTTGAGAATAGGTTTCTAATTTTTTTAAAGCTACACTGTAAAAAAAATAAGAGCACTCCTGAACCCCTCAAAAAGGTTTCGTAGTTTTGTGAAATGCTTCCAAACGTCTAAAAAACGAATAAAAAAATCTGGGAAACCTTAAAAGATATCGGCGGGTGGGCACACTCTCGGAACCATGTTTCGTAAAACTCCTTTTCATGCTATAAAGAACTTTAAAAGGTTTTGTGAGAAAACTTAAAAAACCTTTGGAGTTTTCTACTACACCTGATGGTTCCGTAGTAGGGTTTTCTACAAAACCGTTAAGAATAAATAGGAACTCCAAAGGTTTTCAAGTTTTCTCACAAAACCTTTTAAAGTTCTTTATAGCATGAAAAGGAGTTTTACGAAACATG